GATGCATGGATTTTGTAGATGCCCATTATCAGGGCAAACTAGTTTGTTGAGAGTTTTGGTTTTTGTTTGTTTGTTTAAAGATTTATTTATTTGAGAGAGAGAGAGAGAGCACAAGCAGGGGGAGAGGGAGAAGCAGACTCCCCGCTGACCTGGAGATCATGACCTGAGCTGAAGGCAGCTGCCTAACCATCTGAGCCACCCAGGCACCCCCAATTGTTGAGAGGTTTTAATCTTAAATGGGTATTGGAGGTTGTCAAATGTTTTTTCTTCATCTTTTGAGAAGATCATGTTCTTGTTCTTTATTAATAATACATTAATTGGTTTTTCAGATATTAAACCAGTCTGGCATTCTTAGAATAAATCCTACTTGGTCATGATGTATAATCCTTTTTGTTTGTTGTGGAATTTCAGATTGCTGGTATTTTGTACAGGAGTTTTGTGTTTGCATTCATGAGGGTAGGGTTTGTAGTTTTTTTGTGATGCCTGTCAGGGTGTTTCTGGCCTCATAAAATGATTGGTGAAGTGTTCTTTTTTCCACTGTTTTCTGGAAGAGTTTGTGAAGGTTTGATACATTTTTCTCTTTAAATATTTGGTAGAGTTCACTAGTGAAGCCACTTGGGCTGTAAAGCTAGTCACAGGGCTGTACCCAGCTTTCCTCTGTGGGAAGCTCTTGTAGAAATTCTTACAGATATATTCAGATTATTTGTTATCTGCTTAAGTTAATTTTGGTGCTTTGTATCTTTTTAGGAGTTTTTCCATTCCATTATCTACACTGTCTAAACTTTTTCAAAGTATTTCCTTGGAATCCTTTGATTTCTGTAAGGTCAGTAGTGATAACCTTCCCTCTTTTATTTCTGATTTTAGGAATTTGTGTTTTATTTTGTTGATCTTTTCAAAAGATAAACTTTGGTTTCATTTATTTTTCTCTTGTGTTTTTCTTTTTTTTAATTTTTTCTACTTCACCATTATTTTCTTTCTTCTACTTATTCTGGGTTTATTTAGTCTTAAGACCATTACCTTTTAAACAACAAGGTCAGTCCAGTGTAATTCACAAGAAATTATTTACCTACCTAAAAATGCAGCAATAGTAATCTTCATGGATGTCATTTTGTTAGATGTTTTGCAAGCCGTTTTACTAATTGATGTTAAAGTAGAAGTAATCTTTTTATCAGGTAGGGCTGTCAGTCTTATTAGCACATACATTAAGTTGATTTTGTCTTCATTCCAATGAAATATACATTGAATTAATTCATAGTACATTTGTAGTACACTGTTTAAACATTAGCACAGACCCAGTCTTAGACCTAGTCTCTTTGATCTGGTTAAGAATATCTTTGCTCCTGGCAGCAGCTCTTTCTGCCCAGGGGTCCTGTTCTCAAGCTTTAATAAAACTGCCTTTGGCACATGCACACACACGCACAATCTTTGCTCCTCCTAAATAACAAAATTCAGCCAACTGATTAAGATCTAATTGGCTTTATGAAATGATTTGTGAATCAGCAGCATCCCCTTTAGCAAATAGAGAGGCAATCCAAGGAATTGTGCAAAATGGAAGGTTCTTTTCCTTTGTTTTAAAAATTTTGTTTATTTATTTGACAGAGACAGAGAGGGAATATAAGCAGGGGGAGTGGGCGGAGGGAGAAGCAGGCTTCCTGCCAAGCAGGAGCCTGATGCAGGGCTCCATCCCAGGACCCTGGGATCATGACCTTAGCCGAAGGCAGCTGGTTAAGGACTGAGCCACCTAGGTGCCCGGCAAAATGGAAGGTTTTTATAGAAGGAGGGCAGAGGCAGGAAAGTTATTAGCAAAAGAAAAGGACTGTTCTAGGCCAGGCCTTTTCTAGGGAGAAAAGCCAGGGGTTTTATGCAGATGACCTCATCTTTCTTTGGGGGATAGAGAAGGGTCCTCGTGGCATACTCCTTGGCATTGATTGAAAAATTCCTGACTGACCAGATAAGACTACATTTCTGAGGGAGTTTGAAACTGCGGTTAAACTATGTATAAAACACCAGTTTTGGAATTTGGTCAAAGTGACACTAATTTGGGCCGCCTTTCTTTTTTTTATTTTTATTTATTTATTTATTTATTTATTTTTTAAAGATTTTATTTATTTATTTGACAGAGATCACAAGTAGGCAGAGAAGCAGGCAGAGAGAGAGAGAGAGAGAAGCAGGCTCTCTGCCGGGCAGAGAGCCCGATGCGGGACTCGATCCCAGGACCCTGAGATCATGACCTGAGCCGAAGGCAGCGGCTTAACCCACTGAGCCACCCAGGTGCCCCATTTTTTTTTAAAACAGTACGAAATGTCACTGTGTCTTAAAAACAACAAAGATTTGTTGTTTCTCTTTCATACCACATGTTTATCATGTGTTGGCAAGGCTCTTGGCTCTTTAGTCACTCAAAGGACCAAGGCTGATAGAGTAGCCAATATTTCAGATGTTTTTGGTCTCAGTGCCAGGGGGAGAAAGAACTCTGGAATATCTTACCTGGCAGTTAAAATTCTCTTTCCTGGTGGTAAGAGCTTACTTTCTCTCACAACTCATTGTCTAGAGCTAGTCACAGGGCTGTACCCAGACACACGGGGTCCCAAGTGCTCTAAGAAGGGAGAGTAGGAATTCCTGGGTGTAAACACTGAAGACTACTGTACCATCCTAGACTGGGTCACTACCAGTGGATTGTCTGATTAGGTGCTTACAGGGTTTCCTGGCTTAACTTCTTTAGACTACTCTTTCTGTACAGCAATCTGTGATTTTTCTAACCATCAGTCTGATGATATCACTGTCTTTAGGCTGATCATCATTGCTTTTCAGATGAAGCCCGTCTTTTCCTGCTGTCTACATGCCCTACCTGATCTGATCTCCATTACCTTTTATACCGATAGCTAACTGTTTTTCTTATACTCTATCTTAGTGATACTGTCCTGTAGCTCCTTTAACATGCTTTACTCCCTTTTTTTGCCTCTTGACTTTTGCCCACATTATGTTTTCTTCCTGGAATATTCTTTCTTAGCTCCTTCCCTCTTTCCTTTGGTTAACGCCTGTTCCTCTTTTAGGTTGCAGCTTAAAAGTCATATTATTTCTACTTTCCTATTTGAATTCAGTGCTTAGCCTTTGATTCCCAAAGCACTCATTATTTCTGACAAAGCTATCATGTGTCATAGTAATTGCATGATTACTTGTTTGCCATCGTAACCCAATCTGTCACACATAGAGGCACTCAATACATGTTTGTGGAATGGTTAAATACATTACAGCATAAGGTAGGAAAAGTTAGTAGTGTCCATTATCAAGAAATTTAGCAATTAAAGATCTGTATGGGGGCGCCTGGGTGGCGCAACGGGTTGAGCCTCTGCCTTCGGCTCAGGTCATGATCTCAGGGTCCTGGGATTGAGCAACGCATCGGGCTCTCTGCTCAGCGGGGAGCCTGCTTCCTCCTCTCTCTCTGCCTGCCTCTCTGCCTACTTGTGATCTCTCTCTGTCAAACAAATAAATAAAATCTTAAAAAAAAAAAAAAAAAGATCTGTATGCTTCCCATGTGTGGCAAGGACTCCAGAGTTTGTGGTTTATGAAAATGTGGTTTTAATGGTGCTCAGAATATCTCCTGGTTACCACAGTACTTTGTATACCAGTTTTTGCAAGTCCTTTAAAATTTGGTTACATTATTTGCGTTTATTTCTAAGGACAGAAAGAAAAAACGTTTTGTGGAAAAGTGATTCCAAACTGACAGGGCTCTCTAAGTTGAAAATGACAGATAAGTATTTTTCTTTTTAAGATTTATCAGAGAGCGAGAGAAAGAGAGAGGGAGAGCTGGGGGAGGAGCAGAGGGAGAGAATCTTTCAAGGAGACTCCCTGCAGAGCCCCACGTGGGGCTCCATCCCAGACCCATGAGATCATGACCTGAGCGGAAACTGAAGTCAGACGCCTAACCGACTAAGCCACTCATGCGCCCCCAGATGTGTATTTTTCATTTCTTGTATCAAATATTTTCTCTTTCCTTAATTGTGCCTTAATTTTCAGTAGCTTCTTAATAAGCTAAGTTGATTTATCATATTTAAAGGTGTTATTTCCATTTTTTGTTGTTATTTTGAGTAATGCTTTTAGAAATCTCTTTGTATCTTGAGCTTTTTCCTTTTGAACGAATTTGTCAGGGTGAATTTTCCGGAATGTTATTTCTTGCTAAGTGCAGTTGTGGTGGTTAAGAGCGTGCTTAGGTTTGCTCATGGGTCCTGGCAAAATAGTGTTTGGGCAATGAAATACAGTATCTGTAGCTCTTGTAATTCTAAGAAATAAAACTACAGTGTTTCTTAATAGGTGTTATATGGTCCTGTTTTCACCTTCTTTGGGGGGGGATAGTCTTTTCAGCATTGGGTATCTTAGCCCTTGAGAATATGGATATAGCAGCAAAATAAAAGAATAAACTCAGGAAATACAACTTAAAGGGTATGCTAGTAAGGTTTAGTTTGAAAATAGCCTGGCCATTCTTACACCATGTGTTTCTTATTAAACAGTAAGGCAGTTTTATGAAAATTTTATGCAAGTACACTTGTGATCTTTCTATTTTGAGACTTTTTCCCACACTAATCCCTAAATAAAACGTAAGTCTTTAAAAAATGTATAAGTTGTCCTCAGTAACCTAGAATATACTTCTTTTTAATAAGTAGGGATTTTATGTATAAGTGGAATTATTTACTTTGGACTTAGGTAAACATTTTAAATAGCATTTTTATTACCCAAACACATGGAGGGAAGTTTATTTTTTAGTCCACATGGTTTGTTTAGATCAGGGTTATTTGATCTTGCTGATGTTTTCTGGCTTACCTTTTGTTGCTTAATGTTGAGATCTGGGAATCTTTTACCCAGTTTTTGAATTATCATTTTAAATAGATTGGTAACTTACATTTGTGAAGTTTTACTGTACATTTAATGAAAGGGATACACACACACAAAGTGCATATTTGACTTGTTTTTCCCTTCTTTTAGAAATCTTTTAATCATTCAGAGTCAATTTTCATAATAACAGTTGGCCTCAGAAAATTTTCCTTTTTTCTCAGTAGTTGAAGGCTGTTTTCAGAGATTTTGTTCATATTAGTAGAGTGCTAGACCACTTCAATTTCACGTTTTCTGATGTTGTCCATCATACTTCTAAGAGGGTTAGGTTCACTTTTCAAGTCTTTCACAGTTTTGTTTTTTACACAGCAGCAACAGTCAAGCACTTCATAAAGGAAAGCCAACACCACTAAAGATACCACTGTAAATATAAATAAAAGCAGAATGACAAAGCAGGCAGTGTTCCAGTTATCATGAAAAGGGTAAATTTTTTGAACTTGAAAACCAAGGTATTGATAAACAGACGTAGTGGTTTCATTCCAGAGGCTGGAGCTCAGGGAGGCCATTCTTAGGGAATCTACTTCTTATATTGCTCTTCTGAATCTGCGAAAGGGTAAAAAATGAATATATGTAACCAAATTCTAAAGATTTGTCAATTCAAGTCTTAGGACTAATATTTGATAGTAAATTTTTGTAGGTAACATGAGTCATCTTATTTTCTGCCAGAATTAAATGCCCAAATGATATTTTTGAATTTTTTCTGTATTTTACGGCCATATACTCTATAAACTGTACTGCATATTTACGTGTATCATTTGCTGGACAAATATGTTTAAGATTTCTATATAGAGGTTAATTGCTAATAGAAGTGGAAAAAAAGAAGCTGAATTGGTTTAAAATTTGACTAAAGCAGTGGTCAGTGATCTGTTAACTACAAAAAATTGTAGCATTTTAACGTGGTGGTCTTCAAACTGCCTCCTGAAGAGCTTTTCTCATTACCTGTGTGGCTCCTTCTCAGCTTGTTGGCTCAGTGTATCTCTCTCTCCTATTTCCAGTCTTCTAAACTTCAAGGACAGGTGACCTGAATCAGGAAATAGTGGCTGAGTGAAAAATATTAAAGAAAGAAAAGCTAAATAATGGCAATTTTCAGAATAAAGATAATAAAATTTTAGGTTCAATTGCCTAAGAAGAGACCTTAATCTTAGGATTTCTTTTTGTTGTGTATCTGATAGTGTTAACTGTTTCATATAGCCAGTCTGTGGACATGAATATTTTAAACAGACAGTATCCCAGATGTATTGAGTAATAAATTATTATTCCATTTCACAAAATTAACCAGTGAATTAAAGTTCTAGTATTTTTTTTTTTTAATTTTATTTTATTTGTCATACAGAAATTAGAAGCATGGAGAGCTGCAGGCAGAACAGGCAGAGCAGGCAGAGGGAGAAGCAGACTCCCCGCCGAGCAAGGAGCCCAATGCGGGGCTTGATCCTAGGACCCTGGGATCGTGACCTGAGTCGAAGGCAGATGCTTAACCAGCTGAGCCACCCAGGCATCCCAGAGTTTTTAGTATCTTGCATTAAGTTTTGCTCTGGTTGACTTGATACTTGTTAGACCTTAAATGGCACCAGAAGGATTGAAGATCTTATTACCTTGATCCTTCAGAAGTGTCCTTTAAAATTATTTTAAGAAATTATAAAATGCTTTTATACTAAGAAAATTTTGGAAATAAGAAGAAAAAACTCCACTTTGTTAATTCAGTGACTATTGTCAGTTTGCTTTATTTTATTAAAGAAATGACTTAGTTTGCATGATTTTTCTTTACTACATAGTTGTAAGTAGATTTTCATTCATTCTTGTAAACAGATGTTTATTGATTACCTACTGTGTACCAAATAGTTTTCTAAGTGCTGGAGATACTTGTGTGTGTGAGTACGTTTCTTTTTTTCTTTCTTTTTTTAAATATTTTATTTATTTAATTGACTGAAAGGGACAGCAAGAGAGAGGGAACACAGCAGGGGGAGTGGGAGAGGGAGAAGCAGGTTTCCCTCAGAGCAGGAAGCCCAATGCAGGGCTCGATCCCAGGACCCTGGGACCATGACCCGAGCCAAAGGCAGATGTCTAACTGATTGAGCCACCCAGGTGCCCCATAAATAAATAAATCTTTAAAAAAAGAAAAGTATGATGAACCCCTGTATGCTCATAATATAGCTTCAATTATCATTTCATCAATACCCATTTGCTTCCACCTGTAGACTATTTTGAAGGAAACTGTAGACCTCATCACTTCATCTACACATATTCAGTGTATATCCCTTAAAAGGTGAGGATTCTGTTTTTAAACATAACCACATTATCATTTTCACACCAAAAAAAGATGAAAAGGTGACTTTAAAAAACCCAAAGCCATCATTAATTTGTTTTCTTTATAAATGTAATTTTAAAACTTTGACATTAATAAGTTAATATTTTCTAAGGTTTTTGTTTGTTTTTAATCTATTTTTAAGTAAACTCTGTGCCCAACATGGGGCTTGAGCTCACAATCCCGAGATCGGGGTCCCATGCTCTACTGACTGAGCCACTAGGCACCCCACATGTTATTGTTTTTATCTTAAATCACATTTGCTTGGCAATAACTTCACCTCTCTGGATGGACTTGTTTTCTTCCTTTGTGTATTTTGAAGGTTAAATCGATGATCTGAGGCCAGAAGTAAAAGCTTAAATTTTTGTTCTTTTTGGATTTAAGACTCCTTCAGCTTCATGGTTTGTGGTGATCCTTCATCTTGAAACAAGGGACAACAGACTAATGGACAATAATTGAATCAGTTGCTTTTATTAGTTTGGGGACGTACAAAAATACATTGTCTGGAATGCCGGTGTATGAGGAACTTCCCAGTATATTACAGTATTTTCAAACTGGGGACCCTGCCTTTTAAAGTTACCCTCTTTTATCCCTTAAGTTTTTCTTTTCCTTAGTGCATTCTTACAGAAAATGGGGCTGCTATGTTGCACACCTCCAGGGAACACCATTCATGCTGTACTGTAGGGTGCCATTCACATAGAATACGCTGTAGATGGTGCACCTTGGAGTCTAATGTGGATATCCTGATAGGCCACTCCTGCCAACTTCTGCATTGTTGCTGTTTCTGATTCTAATCACCATGCACATAAGTAGTCAAGTAACACATAGAAACTGACTCAAATGGAGAGAATGTTAGTCCTTTTTGACCTAGTCTTCATAATAGTGTAGTGATGGGTGTGTACGCACACCCAAATGCCTAAAAAATATTTAGCTTTGGAACTCCTTTGAAATTTTTAGTATGACTACAATGTGACATTCCTGGGAGGGGTAGCACACATTGTTAGTTATTTTTTACTTAAGTGTGAATAAGTTTCAGGTCCTTTTGAAAAAACAGCATGTAGAGGAGGAGAGGAAGAATAGGATCTTGAAGAAATAGAGAACAGTGCCATTTATTGTATGGGTAGATAAAGAGCAGGGGAAGAATCACTGGAGGGTCTGTTAATTTTACCTGGGCTAACCTAGGACCTCTTCAGCATTGATGCAAATATTCCTTAGACTTTCTGTCTGTTCAGGCCTTTCAAGTTGATTCCTTTGTTGTTTCGTTTTATTAAGTAATCTCTACACCCAATATGAGGCTTGAAGTCATAAGCCTGAGATCAAGAGTCACATGCCACGTGCCTGACTGAGCCAGCTAGGTGCCCCAGGTTGATTACTTTTTAAAATCTGGGAATTTCTTTCTGCATTATGTCCCTGAAATTAGTTTAATGTAGGGGCACCTGGGTGGCTCAGTGGGTTGAGCATCCAACTCTTGGGTTCAGCTGAGGCTCAGGTCATGATATCCATTTGTGAGAATGAGCCCCGAGTGGGGCTCTGTGCTCAGTGGGGAGTCTGCTTGGGATTCATTCTCTCTCTCTCTCTGTCTCCCAAGTAAATAAATCTTAAAAAAATTAGTTTAATATACCTTTTTTTTTCTTCTTAAAGATTTTATTTATTTATTTGACAGAGATCACAAGCAGGCAGAGAGGCAGGCAGAGAGAGAGAAGGGGAAGCACGCTCCCTGTTGAGCAGAGAGCCCGATGCAGGGCTCGATCCCAGGACCCTAGGATCATGACCTGAGCCGAAGGCAGAGGCTTTAACCCACTGAGCCACCCAGGCACCCCAGTTTAATGTACCTTATTAATTAATGTTAACTTAAAATGTCATTTCATTATTGATTTCAGAAATTTTGTAGTCATTCTTTTTTACATTCTAATAATTTTTAAATAAAAATGAAAAGCTTCACTAATAATCCTGTCTCCCTAACATATCAAACTTTTGTTTCTTCTAGAAATTGGCTATATAAATCTGTAACTCATACCTGGTTGAAATTATAGTGAAGTTATTTGTATTTTAACTTTTTATGAGTAGGGATTTCCTTTTTGTATTGACTTTAAAACTGAGGAGAAGTTGTAAAGACTAATAAAAGTTTCTATTTCAAAATGAAATTTTAGTGGCGCCTGGGTGGCTCAGTGGGTTAAGCCTCTGCCTTCAGCTCAGGTCATGATCTCAGGGTCCTGCGATTGAGCACCGCATCGGGCTCTCTGCTCAGCGGGGAGCCTGCTGCTCCCTCTCTCTCTGCCTGCCTCTCTGCCTACTTGTGACCTCTGTCAAATAAATAAATAAATAAAATCTTTTTTAAAAAAATGAAATTTTAGAATTACTGGAAATTGGTTTAAGGGACTTTATATTCTATTTATTTTTGAGGTACAAGTGAACCGCTTAAAATTTTTGACATTATATTCTATTTCTCAAAGGAGATTTATTTGTGAGAGAGAGAGTGAGAGTGCACGCATACACGCACATGCGTGCAAGTGTCAGATATGGGAGGTACAGAGGGAGAAAGAATCCCAAGCAGACTCTTCACTGACCATGGAGCCAACTTGGGGCTCGATCCCATGACCCTGAGCTGAAATCAGGAGCCAATGTTCAACCCACTGAGCCACCTAGGTGTCCCAATATTCTATTTATTTTTGAGGTACAAGTGAACTGTTTAAAATTTTTTCAAGCCCTCTCATGTGCCTCCCCCCACCAAAGTGGAGGGAGGAAAAGGAAGGGAGAAGGTGGGGCAGGCGGACAACCCAAACCAAATTTAGGTATTTGAAGTTAACTTGATCATGATCTGTTCTTCTGGTTAAAATTAGTATATCCATACAATTGATAATTGTGTGTGAATGAGGTAATTGTGGTGATACTGAAAGATTTCTAGGATCTGTTAAGTCAAAAAGACCAAGATGCAGGACAGTATGTATAGGAGAGGGGGAAATAATATGCATTTTTATTTGCTTGATTCTGCACAAAAGTTTTGGAAGGAGTTATATAAGAAATTAATAACAATGATTGCCTGTGTGGTTGTTTGGAGAGTAGAGCTGGGAAACAGGGATCTGTGTGAGATTTCACAAGGTACATCTTGTAATATTTCAGTCTTTGAACCATTTGAATATAGTACTTAACCTAAAACCCTAACTAATATACTTTAAAAATATTTCTTGCCTTTGGTTTTATGTATCTGTTGCGTTACATTGTGTTATATATCTGTGTTTTGTATCTATTTGATACATTTACTGAGGTTTTTGGATTACTTCTAAAAAAAAAGTAGAATCAGTAAACTCTCATTTTGATTAGAAGTGTCTAAGCAGTTTAAGGAAGAATATACACGTGTTGTAAATGATGACAGTTTATGTTGTAAATGATGACAGTTTGCCTCTTATGTGAGTGTATTGATAACTGATGAGCAGCTCAAAACATTCAATCTTTAGTTAGCTTCTGGGCATATCTGAAAAAAGTAAACCATGAAATACAGAGTCATTTTGTACCTTAAATTTAATGTGGTTCATTCTTTTTAAGTACAGTAGAGCTCTAGCAATTTTTTGTGCTAAATTTAGAGTAAAATCTAAAACTTACTTTAATGGAGTAGACATAATTAGACATGCAGAAAGATGGTATTATTAGGATTTTCTCATATTCTAAGACTGTTTTTGGAATTAAAATACACATTTATATCAAGTACCTGCTATAAACATGCTTTATGAAAAATAAGACTAAATGGTAAAAAAAAAAAATCATTTGTGTACTTTTTTTGGATCCCCACCCCTTTGAAATTTCATTACAGAAATGGGGAGAGTTAAAGTAAATACCATATTTTTGTTTGTTTGTTTTTATATATTCTCTTCACCTATTTTTCCTCCTGTTTTCAGAAGATCCTAGTGAAATAATTATGGGGATAGGACTTCATACTGTTCTGGAACCTTGAATTGTGGGATCAGAACAAGATTATGCTTTTGCTCTAATTATGGTAAAAGCCCTTGAGTTGAATTCTCTAGTGTCTTTAAACATACAACTTTGAAATATGATCAATTAATCATATTGGCCTTTAAATATAGAGCAGCTCACCCAGCCCTGGAGCTCTCTGAGGTAGGCCATGCATCTAGTCAGTTTGGTGAAAGAGCAATAACCCTACATCTCTGCTAACTATAAATACATCACCAGCAAATGTGGGCTGGTTATAGTGCTAATAATGGGGGGGGGGTAGGGCTCTTTCTGTTTACAGTTTACCTGAAATTTCAGTTACAAGTTAACTGTTTTATTTGACAAGATGTGTTTATTTATCTGAGACTTCTTTTGGCTCCCATATACTTTGTACAGCAAGCAGGAATATTTTCTAGGTAATTAACCCCATTGTTCTGAACCTGGAGATATTTAATTTCTTCTTACAGCAACCTTTAGGTTTTGTAAGGAATGGTTTACTCATGCTGCTGAATGCTGAATAAGAAATGGAATAAAAATTATGAAAATAGTCTTTTAAAATTTAAATAGATTTATTAGCAAAGAAAAGGCAGAAGTTGGATCTTTAGGTCCGTATGTGTGGGTAATATCCTGGAACTCTGGTATCTACTAAATAATGATATTTTTCATACTCGACTATTATAAAATTAGAAATTTGGTCAGTAGTTGATACCAATTTTTAGTAGACATAAATAGTTACTCTGGGCCATCAAAGTAATCTTATTACCTACCCTTGAAAGGTACCATACCTTCCTCCCTTAACCAGTTCTTCTTAAAACATATTTTTATTTTTATATGTAGTTTATCAGAAAGACTTGCTCTCTGTTTCTTTTGAGGAATCAGTTGAAGAATAATTTCAACATTATATTGAATATGGTTATGAATATTTGTGGCATATAAAAAGTGAAAGGCTGTTTAAGAAGGTTATTATTTAATAATAGAATGACTTGTGTATTACAGTAATATAGATTTTTAAAATTTAACCATAAAGAACTATTTTAGTTAAAATGTTAGGAAAGTCTGCAGCTCTACAAATGATCTTTTTGGCTGTAGTATAATGCAGCCTATTTAATGATATCTTTACGGTCTTATTATTTTTATGTAAAAATCACAATCCTTACAATTTCTTGGCATTCACTGCATCTACACTCAAAGTCAAACGAACAGTTTTAAACTATTTTCTCATATTTGTTAAAATATAACAAACTTTCCTGTGAGTAACTGCTTTTTACCAACCAATACAATTTGCACATACAGTCAGAAAGCTTTAGTCCAGGATTCGCTTTGAGTCTAGATTTTTCTTTAAGAAAAATCCTTTGTTAAGGCAGACCAAACTGCTGAAATGAAATAACTCAGAAAAAATAAATTCGCAAGTAACCACTTAACATTAAATGTTTATGGTTTACTCTAAGGTCTGGATATAGATCAGGTTCATAGAAAATCTCATGAATTTTCCATAAGGCACAGATGGTAAGGGTGCTTATCAAATAGCACAAGGCAGTCTTCACATTTTCATAATAAAATCCTACCAAGCAGTGAAATTAATACATTGCTTTTTTTGGCCTTTTGTAGGAACAAAGCTTTCTGCTTAGTTTTTATAGTAAAATATTTTTATATTTCATCATAAGGACATGTATTACTAAATGAAAGAGATCGTATAAACCTACCTCTTGTCTGAAGGCTGCTGTTGAAGCGATGGTATCGTCTGTTTGTAATGCAGTCCAGTGCACATCCAAGATGGAGCTGTGCTTCTATTGGTTGAACCACAATGCAGCTGACAGTTTCCTCTTCGTTCATTTGCATTAAGTCCTGCCACCCTTAAGTGTAAATCATTCATAAACTTGAATAGAGCTGTCTGGGATATCAACTGTCACCTCTTTTTCTTGCCTTATTTTTTTGTCCTTAAGCTAAATTTCTGCAGAGGAATTTGAGTTAGTAACAAACTGATGATTTCTTAGTGTTTAACCATAAAATTTCAATTCCTTCAGTGAGTATTTCTCTGCTGGAGCTAAAAGGAAATGTTGAGAGAGGTAGTAACCTAGGAAACAAACAGTCCAGGTTTACCAGCTTGGTATTTCCTCTAGGAAGTGGGCATGAAATCTCATAAATGATATTTTCTTTTCATACTTGTGTTATATATAAATTTTGTCATCTGGAAGTGATTATTTCCATGTGGTGGTTTGAATTAGGAGAAATTCTAAGGGAAAAGAAAGGTTTTCAGCTCTACTAGTTGGGAGAGGGTTAGTTTTGGTAGGTATACCACCGATATTAAAAAAGCAGTCTGTGATATTTAAATGGTAAAAAAGGAATAGAAGGCACAGCATAGGGAATATAGTTAATGATATTATAATAGTGTTTTATGGTGACAGCAGCTACACTTGTGAGCATAGCATAATCTATAGAGAAGTTCAGTGACTATGTTGTACACCTGAAACTAATGTAGCATTGTTTGTCAGCTGTATTCAACAACAACAAATTTTTTAAAAAGATTATTTATTTTATTTATTTGACAGACAGAGGTCACAAGTAAGCAGAGAGAGAGAGAGAAGAGGAAGCAGGCTCCCCGCCGAGCAGAGCCTGATGCGGGGTCGATCGCAGGACCCTGAGATCATGGCCTGAGCTGAAGGCAGAGGCTTTAACACGCTGAGCTACCCAGGCGCCCCTAAATTTTAATTTCTTTCAAAATTTATTTATACTTTAGAGAGACTGAAAGCATGAGTGAGAAGGACAGAAGGAGAAGGAGAGATGATGTCAGGTAGACTCCACATGGAGCCTGAGGCAGGGCTCGATCCCTGATCCTGAGATCATGACCTGGGCCAAAACCAAGGATCGGCACTCAACTGACCGTTCCACTCAGGCACCCCTCAAAAATTTTTCTTAAAAATGGCGAAAGAATCTTCAACTGTGAATGTTTGAAGATCGAATGTTTTTATTTAAGATGTATTATTTAGAGTTGTGTGTGGTCCAGGCATAACAGAATCAAGGTTTTAAATAATGGAGTGGGGGCGCCTGGGTGACTCAGTCATTAGGCGCCTGCCTCTGGCTCAGGTCATGGTCCCAGGGTCCTGGGATTGAGCCCAGCATCAGGCTCCCTGCCTGCTTGGCGGGGAGCCTTCTTCTCCCTCTCCCACTCCCTCTCCTTGTGTTCCCTCTCTTGCTGTAATAAATAAAATCTTTAAAAATAAATAAATACATAAATAAATAATGGAGTGGCTATCATAGCAACAGCAGACTGAGTAAATGCTTGCTGTGCAAACTTTGTTTTATAGTTTACATTTTTTAAAAAAAGATTTTATTTATTTATTTGACAGAGATCACAAGTAGGCAGAGAGGCAGGCAGAGAGAGAGAGGGGGAAGCAGGCTCCTTGCTGAGCAGAGAAGCCGATGTGGGGCTCCCTCCCCTGACCCTGGGATCATGACCTGAGCTGAAGGCAGAGGCTTTAACCCACAGAGCCACCCAGGTGACCCACATTATTTTTTTAAAGATTTTATTTATTAAAGGTAGAGAGTGTGAGCAGGGGGAGGAGCAGAGGAGTGGGGGGGGGTGGGCGTGAAGAATTTGAAGCAGACTCCACACTGAGTGCAGAGCCCGATGTGGGGATCAATCCCATGACCCTGGATTGTGACCTGAGCCAAAATTAAGAGTCAGACACTAAACTGACTGAGCCACCCAGGTGTCACCACATTATTTTATAAAATTACAAATAAATTACCATATTAGTTTCTAGGACCATAAAGGGGTGCATAAAAATACTCTTACTGTCTTCATTCATTCAGCTAATATTTACTGTTTACTTTACTTGTCATTGGGCTGAATGTTCAGGACTCTGTGATACATAAAAGTGCATGTAGTTCACGATTGGGCACTTGTAGAGTGCCTGTTCTTAGCATGGTGTTTTTGGCTTTTCATAGTGTTCCCAATTAGTTTATATAGGATAAACTTAATATCTTATCAAAGTTAAATAAGAAAACATCTGCATTTATGAATTTTTATACTCTGAGAAAATAATAGCCAGTTTTAGATGGCATAGTCTATATTAAAGACTAGTTAATGATTCTTAAACAAGGCAGTATCACAGCGTTTACTACTGAATTTGAATCTGCGTTCTTCTGCTTAGTACTCTTACTTATGTTTAAAAGGGGGCAATACCTCCTAAATGGGAGTTTTTCAGAGGGATTAAATGAGAAAGTCAAATATTTAGCATGCCACGTGGCAAATAATAAGTGTTCAGTAAATGTTACTTTTATTGTTAAAGTGCTCTGAACACCTTGGGAAAATGAACCATGTAGGTAGTATTTCATAATTGAAAGAATGAATGTGAAAGCATACCTGTAAGGCATCCAGGATACCACTTTTGGAAACATAGCAGGATATAATGTGCCAATTCAGTTGTTGTCAAATTATGACAGTGATATTTTTAAAGGAAAATTACATATCAAGCTTCATTTTAGTCTCAAAAAGTATATTTAATAAAGTCTTTTTACAAACTAATCTCAGAGAATTATTATGTTGCCATCTAAAAGCTATTCTTTTGGCTCTCTGACAATTTCACATTTGACTTGCATTGTTCTAATGAATTCCTTTTTTTTTTTTTTTTTTTTTAATTATTACCACCAAGCTGGTGCCAGAGATACCCCTGCCCCACCTTGTATTTAACCTCTTCCTTTGTGGATCAGCAGCCACAAGAGAACGTAATATATCTGAATTGATGGTTTGTTAATAGAATGTGTACTTCTGAAATGTTTTTCATTTCAGTTATGAGTTTTTTTTTTTTTTAAACTGTTCCTCCTTATGACTAATGGAATGGGCTTGTGATTCATAGTAGCATTAGGATTTCTGCCTATAAAATACAACAGAATGATACAAGTTCTGAAATAAATTGTTGTCAGTACAGATTGCTCCTTGTTTCATGCTATTGTCCTTTTTTAAGCATCCATGTTTATGCAGTGTCATTGCCTATGAATTTTTTCTTTTTTTTAAATATTTTTCCCTAATCAAGCTCTAAAGTTTAGTTATGGTATCATTTCTTTTATTAATCCCCATTAGTTCCCATTTGTTTTAAGTTGAGAGGGAGAAATTGATGTAATAGGTGATAAGTGGAACTTTTTATCCCTTGGAAGTAATTCACTCATTTCTCCTGGTTTTAAGTCTGTTAGAAAAGCTCTTCGCATCAGTTTGAGATTTGTGTTGTCCTCTTGTTTAAAAAGCCATGCTTCTAATCTTGGGGATAAATCTAATCATAATTAAGGGAACAGTGAGACAAAGGTACTTAAGGAAGAAATGTATTTTACTTTTTTTTAAGTAGGCTCCCTGCCCAATGTGGGACTTGAACTCAGGAACCCTGAGATGAAGTCGGATACTGCACCAACTGAGCCACCCCAAACACCCCAAAAGAAATGTATTTTAATGCTTTTGAATTCTTAATACTTTGTTCCTATCTTTGGTGGGAAAATTAATAAGCTTATTATATAATCATAGATTTGAATTTTTACCAAAGTTTTACAGGGTAGAATTCACTAGATGGAAAAATGCAAAACAAATATTTTACTAGAGTTAAAAATCATCTTAGTTGCTTAAAAGTCAAAATTAAATCTATTATGACAATGTTATAATTGCTTTTTGAACCTCATTTCCAGATCATAGCAATGGATCGTTTAACTTGAAAGCTCTATCAGGAAGCTCTGGATATAAGTTTGGTGTTCTTGCTAAGATTGTGAATTACATGAAGGTAAGTGCTTTTCTCAACATGCATCCTATTTGAGTTTTTGGCAGAGGAAGAGGATTGGGGTTTCAGAAGTAAATTTGTATGTACATGTCAAAATTTATCAAATTGCTTGTTTCAATATGTGTGGTATGTTGTATCCCTATTACATCTCAGTAAAACTAAAAAAAAAGTAATGCTTCAAGCCTCTTACATTATATCAGATTAGTACTGCAGTGAGTCACCTAAGTATATTTAATTTACATTAATTCAAGTATCCAATTTAAGCCCACCATTTCACTTATAAATTATGCCCAGGCAGTAGATACAGTCACTTCTTAATTACTCAATACTTGCTGTCAAAACCACTAGGAAGAGGTGAACTATTTGCAGGTTGTTATTTCCACTGAGGTGAAAAGTGAAAACTACATAGTTGAGACATACGGTGGTGATGGTTTTTCTGCATCTTTGGAGGAGAAAACTAGAGAATTACTGAGGGTCTTAGGAAAACATTGATTTATAGAAGACCTTAGAATTTAAGATATGATGGAAGATTTACTATTTTTTGAAGTAAGTTCTGAAGTTTTGATGATATGGCATTTTGGCTTTACCAGAGACTGAATCCTAACTTATTAAAGTGAAATTACATTTGTTACTAAATGGCTAAATGATTTCAGATTTGCCCCCTTCCTCTGCCACACTCATTCCTGTTTAGTTACTGGTTGTATCTCTTGAAAAAAGTGAAAGTACTATATGTGTTACTTCAGATTTCAGCTACAGATTGCTTAAAATGTAAGTCAAGTTTTTATGTTAGGGCTTTTAGAGACTTAATGCCTGACTGGGTCTGAAATCTAGTTTATATTTGATTTGTGGTCGAAATCTGTTAGTTCATAATTTCCCATTATCAAATAATACATTTGACACATATTCCCTATTCATTCATTCCATCCATCCATTCCCCCATGGTGATAAACAATTATTAAAACCTACTGTATGCTATTTATAGCACTATTGCTGGGACTACTCAGGAAAAAGTACCCCCCACGGCTGTTAG